GGGCGTTCTATTTTAAAAAATGGAATTTTGGTCTGTAGCACCTACACCAAACACCCTGTATATTTAAAAATTATAGCTCTCATGAACTCCTAAAACTTTTGTATGAAACATTTTTGTGTATCTCCTTCAACAAACCAGATATTGCCTGTCACATAAAATGTGGGACACCCGGTATAAAACCTTCTTCTAAGAAGAGAAAAATTGTTAACTAGTAACAGCCCCATCTCGTGAGCAAAGCCTCAAGCGTGGAAGAAATCCCATTTACCGATACTCTAAGAGAAATCAAACCATGTCTGCAGACTGTATTGAGGAAAAATACTGGAAAATAAATATTTCGAAACAAAATGTATCCAGGGAAGTAGTTGGATTCCGGCAGGTATTTATCAGAAGCTACGGTGTAGATAGTTGGGAAAAATAATTATTTTGAGATTTTATTTAGAAAAATTCATCTTCTAGTCTAATGCCAACGTTGAACCTAAAAAGCCTAGGTTTGGCAGGGTTATTCGACCTCCTGAAAAATTGAATTATGCCTTGGGGAGATGTAATAAAATAAAAAATTAAATTAAATGTGATAATTTCTAGTCATATTTTATAGTGACTGGAAGTTACAAAATTAAAGGTACTGAATAGAATAGAATTTATTCGTCATTAAAAACATTACACACATAATATATAACATTTTATCAAACTAGTCAGTTGAATATAGTTGATTTGATAATAAAATTGTGAAGATAAAATCTAAAAGCTGACAATGTTAAATGTGTTGTATAAATTCCTCATATAGTTGATGTGAAGATAAAATAATAAAATTGTAAAGATAAAATAATAAAAATTCCAAAAGCTTCATTGTTAAATAATGAAATTATAAAGTTGACAATGTTAAAAGTTTATAAATTCCTCAACAGAATAAAATCTGTCCTTAATCTATTGAAGTTGTCTATATTTCCCAATATTTTTGATGCTTTGTTAAAACAGATGACACCTTGATAGCTTGCAGAGTCCTGCCCGATGGTCAACCATGAATATTGTAGCCTCAGTTCATAACCCCGACGAGTGTTGTATGCATGTATCATATTTTGTTTTGTGAAGAGGGATACATTTTTTTTATATTTGAAACTAATAATAGATAGATAGATAGATCTTTATTTAAATAGGATATCCTAATAATATACAAATCAACTAGAATGGTAGAAATAAAAAAAAGGTATGTGTTACATCTAGAAATGACTTAAATGTATGACAAACATAAGTTCAATAAAATATTTTTGAAGACATTACTACAAAAACAGCAACATTATACATTCGAAAAATTTCAATGCAACATGTAGAAAGATAAATTACATAATTATTTGAAATATATAACGAACATTAGATGAAAGGAATTATACAAATTACAGCTACAGGTAACAAAGACATAATACATATCATATTTGTTCATTTAAAACAAATTTCTTCAGTTCATTTTTGAACATGTTAAGAGATGGGCTATTTTTAATTGCATTAGGTAATTTGTTGAACCGATCAAAACCCTTGAAAAACAATGAGTTCATAGTATTTTTGTTTTTTGTTCTGTTAATATATAAGTTATTATTATTTCGAGTGAAGTGGTGGTGAATATCGTGATGAAAGACAATATACTGATTAAAATAAGATGGTCCTAAATTGTTCAATATTTTGTATACGAAGATCATTGTGAAGTATAGCAGTCTTTGGGAAATGGATTGCCAATTTAAAACATTGAGCATAATAGTGATAGGAGTAACTCTACGGCACTTCAAAATGATTCTCATACCACGATTCTGAAGTTTTTGGAGTTGAGACAATTTATTCTGATTGAATAGATATAGGATAGAGGAACAATAGTCGAAGTGTGGCTGAACAATTGACTTGTAAACTGTGATACTTGACTCCGTTGAAAGATTATTGGCAATTCTAGAAAAAAAGAATAATTTCTTTGAAATTTTTTTATGAATATACTCAAAATGTTCATCAAACGATAGAGTGTTATCTATCTGGAATCCCAGATATTTAGTTGAATTCACTATTTCAATTTTGTCATCATCAATGTTGAGATTGATAGTTTTAGAGTCTATTTGGCTGTATTTAAACTTGGTGGTGATTATCATCGCTTTAGTTTTCATCACATTCAGCTTGAGTTTATTAATTTTTAAATACTTGTTGACACTTGCTAGAGTATTATTCATTTTTTGTATAGCCATCGTAAGGTTCACATCGCTACATGCCAATAGAGTATCATCAGCAAAAACGTTCATAAATTCACAGTCGACAAACAATGGCATGTCGTTTAAATATAGTATGAATAGAAGGGGTCCCAGAACACTACCCTGGGGAACTCCAACGTAATTGTCAATTTCACAAGAGAACATGTCTTTAACTCTTACCCGTTGTTTTCTGTTGGTCAAGTAATTAGATAACCAATTATACATAATATATAGAGTGATGGTAGCGTCAATATACCCATTTTAATAAAAGTGTTCTTAGATGATTCTCTGTGGAGTGAGCCAGAAATACATCTTATTATTCTTTTTTTGCATTTTGAATACTTTTATCGAGTGTGCTGAATTTCCCCGAAAGGTTAATCCATAGGATATATTAGACTCTATAAGTCCAAAATAGGCCAACTTGAGTACTTGATGGGATACTGTTCCACGTAGTTGCCTGAGTACAAAGCAAACGCTACTTAATTTGGACGTCAAATAGTTAGTGTGTTTTTCCCAGGTTAATTTTTGGTCAATTATCAAACCTAGATACTTATATTGGCCTAAGTGCTCTTCATACCTATTATTTATTTTTATTAGGGGACATTAGTCTAACAAAACGTTTTTTTGTTGATAATTCATGAAAAAGGTTTTATTACCATTGACTAGTAGACCATTATTTGTACACCACTGAGAGAATTCATGGCAGATGTATCTGCAGTCTGAACAGAAAGAGATAGTTCATTTTCTGCTATTATTTGATAGGTATCATCTGCATAGATTGTTTTATGGGAAGATACACATGAATACCCTATATCGATCATAAATATTATAAAGAAAAGTGGAGCCAAGGTTGAACCCTGTAAGACTCCTATTGAAACAGGGGCAGGTTGAGATTTAATTTGCGACCTTTGTTTTAAATAGGAGGCTACCCATTCATTAGCCACTCCTCGTATTCCCATTCGATTCAGTTTCTCAAGCAGCAGCGCATAGTCAACTGTATCGACTGTATAATATAAACATCTGAAAATTCTAATTAGTCAGCAACTTACATTTATAAGTTTTGGCCATCAAATATGATGAATGAATGAAAAAAAATTATATTCTTAGCTTTCTTTAGAAAACTTTAAATTGTTTGTTCTTGGCGGATATCAAAGGAAAGCTATAAATTGAAAGAGTCTTATTTTTGGGAGTGACTAATTTTTGGGAAAGTTTTTGGCTTTCTACTACTCCATCTTGATACAAAAAAATGTGGGAAGGATTTAATTCCGTAACCTTTGCTTGGAATACAAACTGAGTAGAAAAATGTGTTTTTTGTGTTCATATAAAAGTATTTGTTTCGACAGAATTTTTCTTTCATGTAATTCAATATTTATATGAAAGTAGCTGTTTCTTGAGGGTTTTTTCTTCCAGTTTTTGTCTGAAAGCTACTTCTTTGCATAATCTACACATCTATGGATAGAGTTACTTCCTTCAAAATTTATTGTTTCCTTCTGTTCTTTGGAAATTCCCACATTTTTTTGTATCAAGATGGAGTAATAGAAAGCCAAAAAATTTCTTTCCCAAAAATTAGTCACTCCTAAAAATATAATCCTTTCAATTTAAACAAGATTCCTTTTGGCTGGGATATAACCAAATAAGTGAATGAATCTCTTTACGATGTCATCGATGAAATAAGTAGATCAAACTTATTCCGTGACATAAAAATCGTAAGTTTAAATTATAGTATATAGTTATAGTTCAATGTATAAGTTTGAAAATGCACTTATAGGACGAATAATTACGAATTACACAAGTATAGTGTTAGCTAGGGTCAATTTTTTTGAAAAGTAAAATAATTTTCAAAGTTTTTGGTGTAAAGTTATTTTTATTTTTTGTTAACACCGAAAATTACTCAACTTGATATTCAATAATTTCAAATCATAAAACATCAAAAAAAAATAGGTATTTCGGAACAAGCTCGTTGATTTTCTGGAAATTTGCTTGTCCAAAATAATTCTCCAAAATAATATCCAGAGAATCAACGAGTTTGTTCCAAAATACCTATTTTATTTTGATGTTTTGTGATTTGATATTATTGGATATTGGGTTCTTGTTACAATACTGTATAATTTTGAGTAATTTTTGGTGTTAACAAAAAATAAAAATAACTGCACCAAAAACTTTGAAAATTATTTTACTCTTCTAAAAAATTGACTGTGGTCAACACCATAGTTGTTTGATTCGTAATATTCAGTGTTTTACTATATTTTGTTGGAGCATGTTTAGTTTTAGGGGATGCACAAACTTTTATCAAGAATAACTTTTTGTCGAAAAGCCCTTAATAAAGAAGTTTCCCATATGATGCATACTTTGGGGATTACACTGTGTATGTCTCAAAAATCTCGAAAGTCTAGTTTTTCATCAGTACCATACTACTTCAACTTATTGATTGCATTCGTGAACGTATGGTATCGACTCTATTGGGAAATTGGATATTGAAAAAAATGAACGTGTTCTAAAAAAATAATGCAAAAAACATGAATGGTAAAAACGAAATTTGCAAATGGTGGTCTACTTACATGCAAATGAAATGTGTACAAATTCCTTTTGAAAATCAATAATTCGTAAACAACGACCGTAGAGCCTCGATACATCATCAGAATAATTATTCAATGAAAAAATATGTAACTACAATTATATTATTTTTTGATTACTGAATTTAAATGAACAAAACCGTCGACTAACGCCCACTACGCCCAACCATAATGAAAATCGTTGCACTACGCCCACCAACAAAATCAACTACTGACAAGTGACTAATGACAATTGAAATGAAGTGTTTTCTGGCCTCAGAGTAATAATAAGACACAGAATTGCCATGCCTTTACCTATACAATACATGTATTTTGAAGCGAGTATCGTACAATTTATGGGCGGGGGTGGCGGGTAATGAGGGTTTATGGAGAGTTTGTTCACATTTGAAGTAAGTTGGACCATAAAACAGTGGCGGTTGGTTTAGTTGATAATCCCAGGAATATTATATATTTATAAAATAAATCATTTCTGGTGAAAATGTATTCTATTTGAATAGTTACTACAGGAAATCAGATTTTTATTAATGAATATGGAAATGAGGCCAGTTATTCTACCATCTACTAAATTTTTATTCATATATGGCTTTATAATAAAGCGCGTGGTTTACTGGGTTGAAATTAAATTATTTCAAATGAACTAATTCATAACAATGATAAATGTTAATTTCAAAAGTAATAAACTTTGCTTCATATAATCAGATAAAAAAAATTGTGATTCAATCTCAGACTTGATGAACAAGCGGTACGGTTTGTGAGGTCCGATATAAAGAATTTTCGATTTCGATATTTATAATTACGATTGAAGTTTGATATAATTATGTGATTTCATTCAAAATTTGGTATCTAGGGGTCTTTGTGGACCGACATTATGTTGTTGTTTTTTTTTCAATAATTCATACTGGTGAATTCTATAATTACGAAAAATCATTAATGTAAATGAAAAAAACTGTATTCAAAAATGAAAAATATGTTTTTCATATGTGTGCCATAAGTCATTCATTCTGTGATCAACAGATTAAAAAGCTTTCTACTGAATGTTCAGTTTGTATACTAAATAGTTATTCTTCTGCAACCGGTGTTATATCTGTTATTGCTCACTCAACAACTAACTTACGTCACACAAATAATATGATTTCCGTTTTGATTTTATTTTCTTTGCACGAGGCTCTCGCGTTGCATACAGACAATATTCAATAAGAAATGACTTTTGTCATTGTTTCGACATCTTTTTGGTTGGGATATGTCAAATAATGAAATAATATAAATCTAGTTTCGAAAACTTCATTTATAAGAATAAGATCAAAAAAATGATCATTAAAAACATCAAAAATATTCTTTTTCATAATGTCGGTCCACAAAAACCCGTAGATACCAATTTCAAATGAAATCATGATTTCTAATCAAAAATTCTTCATATCGGACCTCACAAACCGTACCGCTTGTTTATTAAATCTGAGAATGAATCACAAATTTCTTCATCTGATTATATGAAGTAAAGTTCATTACTTTTGAAATTAACATTTATCATTGTTATGAACTAGTTCATATGAAATATTTTAATTGTAATCCACTAAACCACGCGCTTTATTATAAAACCATACATAAATATAAATCTAGTGGGTGGTAGAAAAACTGGTCTCATTTCCATAATCATTTATAATAAATCAGATTTCGTGTAGTAACTATTTGAACAAAATACATTTTCACTTGAAATGATTTATTTTATAAATATATAATATCCCTGGGATTATCAACTAAACCAACCGCCACTGTTTTATGGTCCAACTTACTTCCCGTAAACAAACAAAGTTATGCTGCCTTCAATGTAAGGATGGAAAAGGCCTCTCTATTATTTTTTGTTACTCTGAGTTTCTGGCGTTTAATTGTATTCGAGCGTTTATTCAAAAACGATTCGTAGCTACGTCATTAATAAGATTCGCTAGAATGGAATGATTCAATTTGTGTCAGATGTCTAATTCAATAATAAAAACAAACTTTTCAATTGTCTCTAACGTCAATTATGGGATTTGTGCAAGTAATAATTTTCCAGCTTCATTTTATACATCATTACAACGTATTTGATGAAAAGTTTTCAGCTGTTTATAAACTATAACGATCAAAATAAAGCCGAAACTGACAACTGACGTAACGTAATGTCAAATTCAGTTTCAAAACCAACCTCTCGTTAGTTTTCAATCACGATAAATGGATAAATATGTTTCAAATTATAATTGATGTGTCGTCATCGTTTCAACGCCAAAATGAATGTATTTGAATCACATATGAATACGTTTTGAATACATGAACTTTAAAAAAGTATCCTTTTGGGGGAGTAGTGGAATAATTTCTAAAAAATAGACTAACATACACTCAGAATTCATATGATTATTAAAAAATAGTTGTACAATTTCAGTAGAACAAGGCAGGAAAAGGTATACAATACAAACACGTTAAGTCAGAAGCGGCAATATGCTCAAAGTGTGGGTAAAGGATGGAATAATAGAAATGTAGGAAAAGGTTATAATAGGCAAGAGAAACGAAATTTCCATAAATCCAAATGGAAGTGTTCATCATATGAATCAAAAACAATTAACGAGTCCGGAAGATATTCCAAAAACTCCGTTTAGTCAGATAAACAATAACGTAAGAGCAAGTAACGAAAATAATGACGGATTGAATTTTTCGGAGATAGTGAAGAAAAAACAAAAATTAAAAGTTTTCATGAAAATTTCATCAAGTTACCACGTGGTATCGATTCGAAAATAGGTAATTCAAACCTATGATGACTCCAGTAAGCGTCTGGATTTTGACTCACCAAATTTTTTCAAGCATTCAATAGTCATTCTAAGCATTGATAATTATACAGTGAAATATAACAAGTATTGACGCTAATTAGCAGCATCTGATCGACATTATTGAAGAATCCAATCCGGATATGATACTTTTGAATGAGCCATTGCTCAAAGAATCTCAAACATTTAAAATAAAATAGATACGACGGCTAAGGAAGCTTAGCCACTATGGTATGCAAAGACATAATTTATATCAGTGTTGCGAATGACTTGGTAATTACCAGGATCGTGGGTAATTGAAGTTCTTCCTGGTAATTTTCTTACGAAATTCATTCTGGGTAAAATTAGCAGGTAATAAGGTACACAATAGGGTGAATTTTCTGAAATTATTTTGTATGATGACCTTGAAATTTGTGACGAAAATCATGATTGCCAATAATTAAATATAAAATCCGGTTACTACTTTACCCTCATCTATTTGCTAGCTATTTGAATTGATATCAATAGCATCGCTAGTGCATATTCAATGTATTGTTATTCCTAATGCCACTAGGCATTAGTCCACGTGGACTGAAGAATTGGCGTTTCGTATTGGATAATTGTTACTAACCAAGTTATATGATTGGCTGAAGAGTCCTAAAATTAAAATTGAAGTCATGTTACGGTGACGAATAAAATATGTAAAAACTAATAATACTGATTGATTATATTTGTTGTTCCGGCAATGATAGCAATGAACATATCGCCATTTCATAAAATATCTCAAGAAAACGTGTACCAACTTGAATTGTTTTTCGAGCTTTATCGTTGATGAGGTAACATGTCATCAAATCATTACAATTAAAGTAGATATTATACCTGTCAGAAATTATTTATTCTACCTGTGAATGAGCTCATTTTTGATTGGTGGTAATGACAATTTGAATTCGATTCGGTTTGATATAAATATGGGGCCAGGTCGGGAAAGAGTCAGTTCTGATTGACTGTTGTATTATTAAAGGAATTCTACACAATTTTTCAGATTGGATTTCTGTGAATGATTGTGTATTTTAGAACATTTCCACAGAATTTGACATGGCTAGTGATTTATATGGAAGAACAATGGATAAATCCATCGAAACTACTTCAAAAATGTTTTCCGAATTGAATTTTGTGAAAGCTGAACCAGAAGAAGCTAAAACGTTCGATGAATCTGGAAAGTTCGATATTAACTCAGTGAAAATTGAACCACGAGGAGCTGAAATGTTTCATACTGGCTCCATTACCAACCTGAATTCGATGGATAAAATCGGTTATAATAAAAGCATTGGACAACACAGACAAATGAAGATGGAAGATGAAATGGACATTGTTCACGAAGATCTTAAGTGTGAAGTTGTAGATGAAAAAAATTTATCATGCTATATGCGAGCTGAGTGCTTGAGCCAAGATGTGAAGCCACTCCTCTCGGATCCTGCTGTACAAGGAGCAGACATGTTTGGTACTGATTTCTTCACTAACCCAAACTCAATGGATGGCAAAGATGATAACAAAATCATTGGTGATCACGGGCAAATGAAGATGGACAATGAAATCGACATTGTTCATACCGACGAGAAACCATTTCAGTGTGATTTCTGTTTCGAGTCTTTTGCACATAATGTTACTTTGAAGAACCATGAAAGGATTCATGATGAAGACAGACTATTTCAGTGTAAAATTTGCATGAAATCCTTCACTAGAAGTGATGGTTTGAAACTTCACGAAAGACGACATACTGGTGAAAGACCTTTCCAGTGTTCGTTCTGTTCGAAATTTTTCGCTCGTCTTGATACCCTGAAAGTTCACGAAAGAACTCATACCGGAGAAAAACCGTTCCAGTGTAGAATCTGTTCGAAATATTTTACCCAAAGTGGTGATTTAAAAGTTCACGAAAGAAGGCATACTGGAGAAAAATCGTTTCGGTGTACGATGTGTCCAAAATTATTTGTTCAAAGTGGTGAACTGAAAATTCATGAAAGGATTCATACTGGAGAAAGAAGTTTTCAGTGCAAAATCTGTCCAAAATCATTCGTTCAAATTTGTGCTTTGAAAGTACATGAACGAACTCATACCGGAGAACAACCGTTTCAGTGTAAGGTTTGCCTGAAATCTTACACTCAAATTAGTTCTTTGAAAATTCATCAACGAAAACATACTGGAGATAAACCATTCAATTGTAGGAGCTGTTCAAAATCTTTCATGCAAAGTGGTGATTTGAGAGCTCATGAAAGAATTCATACCGGAGAAAAACCGTTTCAGTGTAAGATTTGTCTCAAATCTTACACTCAAAGTGGTTCTTTGAGAATTCATGAAAGAAAACATACTGGAGATAAATGATTCAATTGTAGGAGCTGTTCAAAATCTTTCACGCAAAGTGCTGATTTGAAAGTTCATGAAAGAATTCATACCGGAGAAAAACCGTTTCAATGTACAGTCTGCCCGAAAACTTTCATACACATTAGTTCTTTGAAAACTCATGAAAGGAGTCATAGGTGAGAAAAATCCTTCCAGTGTAGGGTCTGTTCAAAATACTTCATTCATAGTAGTAGTTTGAAATTTTACGAGAGAAGTCATTCTAAGGAATGCACATTTTGATTCAACATGTATAAATCTTTCATTCATATTGCTACGAAATCTCTCACCAATGAACTATGATGGAAATGAACAATTCGACTAACAGCCTTTCTAAGGGTGGTGATTCAGTTTACGTACTCAGATACTATAGCCTGCTAATTGAATATGTAATAAATATTTTTTTATTATATTTGTTCAAGTGTTTTTCTACATGTTTCATCCCCTTAAACTTCATTCGCATGGATTTTTTTTTAAACGAAATGAAATAAGCCTTCTTTTCAAATCAAAATACTGACAGTCACTATCCATTTGCTCAATTTGATATTCGGACTTCTTGGACAACTATTCTATCCTTGCCGTTGCAAGCATAGAATGGTTGTCTGCAATACCTACCTAGAAAGAACTTGGATATGGTGGCGTGTGTATCTCATTTCCAGTAATATATAGTATTGAAGATACACCGTCCAACTGGCGTTGGACGGTGTATCTTCAATACTATTTGTAAAGTGAATCTTCATTTTGTAGACGTTATATATAATTGAATCCTTAACGAGAGTGGAAGATGGTGATAGTAGTTTGAGATGTTTACTTTGACGGATGGGGTATCTATTCCTTGTAATGAAATTTTGTTTGTGTTTATTCATGAGGCACACTGTTTTAAGTATAATTATAAACACTAACGTGAGTATGTTGTGTTTCTTGAAGTGAAATCTGCACGAATCGCGAAATTTTGGTTTTCAGAGGTATGTCTTTAAAACAAAAATACTGAAGAACATTACCACTGCACACTCCCCAGAATGGGATACCGTATCCAGGGCCGTAGCGAAAAGAAAAACCAAGGGGGGAGGCAGTGGCGTAACTACAGGGTGGCAAGTCGGCAAAATGCCACGGGTCCCCAGCCGAAAAGGGCCCCCGGTCAGTGGAGAATCCCAACTCCCAACATTTATTATTTATTATACATGTTTAGTAAAAGGAGTTTTGTCTTTGATTTATTTTTGTTACCTACTCAGTTGCATAGACAAGTAAAAAAATGTATTAAAAATTCAAAGTATTCAAAAGCAAAGTTGTAACCCAGTTTCAAAACGTATCAGATAGATAATAAAATGCTCGACACGCGTGTTGGTACGAGTATTACTGCGGATGTTAGGGGAATTTCCGCTGTGAGTGCCGTGGACAAGGGTACGATGGAGCTAATACCATGAAAGGCACTTATGGCAGAGTTCAAAAACTCATAAAAGATATAGAGCCAAATGCGGTTAATGTCCATTGTGCTACTTAAAATTTAAATTTGGTGGTAAATGATGCAGTAAAAGAGGTCATAAAAATACAAACATTATTCGAAACTGTATAACAAATTTATAATTTTTTTGGCCATAGTACTAAACGATGGAATATATTATCTAGTTTTACATCTGACAATAAAGGATAGACCGGGGTATCATCAAATTCAGTAACAATAAAAACAATGAATCCAACTAGATGGGCAGGACGCTTTGATGCCATGTTTGCTTCAAAAGTTCGGTTTTTTGATGTTCAAAAAGCGCTTACAAAAACTATTATATTAAATTCCAAAACAGATGAGAGAAATGAAGCTATCTTGCTGAAGAAGAAGATAGGAAACTACAATGTTATTATATTGTTGGTTTTCCATTGCAAAGTCTTACAAACTATAGATGCGGCTTCTAAAGTACTTCAGTCTAAAGCCATCGATTTTTCAAATGCTGCAAGTCTGTCTAGAACAACTTGAAAAGTATCGACATGAATTTGAAGATTTAAAAACGGAAGCAAATAGTATTGCAGTGAAATAATCTATACACCCTAAATTTCCCAAAACTCATCAGAGAAAAATGAAACGTCATTTTGATGAAATTTGTGTATTAGACATAATCATTAATCAACTGAAATCGCGTTTCCTTAAAATGAATTAAATTTTTTTCAATTTCAGTGTCTTGCAACCTGCCACATTGGAAAATTTGAGCGTTACTGATTTATTGAAAAAGGCTTTAGCATTTGTCCCTCTAGATAAAGAAGATATATCCGTCTCGTTTTCCAAGGAAATTCTCAGTTTTCGATTCGCTTTTCAGGCACGGAATAGAAACATCATCTTCTATGAGAAAACTTGCTAACTTATTGATAATAAAAAAGCATTTTATATCTTCAAGCTTTCCTGAAGTGTGCACTTCATTTCTATTATTTCTCACCATTCCTGTGACTACGGCTAGTGCGGAGCGATCATTTTCAAAACTGAAATTGACAGGTTGAGCAACTTGACTATTTTATCCATCAAAAATTCAACGGCCCGAAATTTGAACCGAAGGAATTTTAATAATTAACATTTTACATCTTGAACACATTGTGTGCTTACAACAATATGATGATTCAGACTGCCTATATCGAATTGCTATTTTGTTTTTCAAATAATTTTGACTACTCTATGTGCCCATATCAATTAGATGCTGACTGTACTTTATTAGGTACTTTTAATTTAAAGTGAATTATTAGAAAATCAAGTACCTAAGTATAATTATAAAGTTTATATGTACCTATTTGCCATAGTGATTTATTATTGTATAATTACAAGTAAAAGTGTATAAATAAGTATGAAAAAATATTATAATTGTTGGTTCAGCTTCTTTATATTGGGGGGAGGTGGGCCCATCCGATAAATTTGCCACGGGCCACGGCCAGAAATTTCCCAACTTCTGCATGTTGGAAAAACAGCGAAAAGTTGGGAATTTTGTAAAATTGTCATGTCAAAATTTGTGGACTGTTCAGGACTGTTCTCTTACTTGGGAGTAATTAAACTTTTTCGAAGATTTCAAACAACTCAGAATCCTCTTCAAGTTATGCATGTTGGAAAATCCCAACCTTCTCCTTGTTCTTTCCCTTTTCTTATTACCTCTCCTCTTTTTCTTTCTATTATTTTTTTCTATCTTCATGGCCCAAAATTTCCCAACTTTTACCCAACTTTTTCCCTATTCGAAAAAGCGGGGGGAGGCTCCCCCCATCCCCCCACATGGCGACGGCTCTGCGTATCGCAAATGTGACTCTATCAAGGAATAGTATACAGTCTTTACGGTTGAGTATCCTAGTTCGTTTGCAGCAATTTTCACAGCATAACAACCCGAAAACAATTTTTTATTTAAGTTTTTGACATGTTCATTGAATTTGAACCCGTTGTCGATGTATGGTCCTAGAAATTTGAAAAAAACACGGTTTTCAATAATCTCTTGGGTTAAAGAAATATCAGCAACTGCATATTTGAATAACACTTTCTTAGTTTTCAATATGTTTAGGGATAAAAGGTTCGAGTCGCACCACTCTTTGACTTTTATTATATCTGTATAATTGATATGATGAAGATCAGCTTGCTTATCATTATACCATAGTATGGTGATATCATCAGCGAACAGGGTGACATTTCCTGTAATGTCAAGCGTCGTCAGGTCATTGACATATTGGATAAAATTGGACCCAAGACAGATCCTTGCGTACACCACATTGTATATTACCTAAATTTGAGATTGACTTTGTCTTAAGTATTTGTGTGCGGCCAGATAAATATGTCGTGTACCATGAATGCGCTTCATTTCGAAATCTGCAACGATGAAGTTTTCGCAGCAGTATATCATGATTCACGCAGTCAAAAGCCTTCGATAAATCACAAAATACAGCAACGGCAATCCTCCAATCATTGATCCCAGTATACAATTCATATAACAAAGAAAATATTGCATCATTTTTGTTCTTATTGCACTGAAATCCGAATTGTTTGATGCTCAATGTATGACACGCCTACAAAAAGTACGATGATTTGCGCTAACGGGAAAATGAGGAAAATGGGTCTAAAATTCATGGGAGAGCTCACTTCACCACCTTAATAGATCGGTATGAGAATTGATGTTTTGAGAAAATGTGGAAATATGCTTTCTTTGAAGGATTCATTTATCGAAGATACTAATTGATTCAGGGCATTATCTTAAAGATTTATCAAAATCATAACGAAAATGTCATCTAATGCAGTTGCGGTTTTATTTTTAATATCATGTAACGTTTCTTTCAACTCATCAATATTAACGTCATACAAGATTAAGTTTTCGATAACACGTTTGCTAGATTTGTTAGTGGATCATAGGCTACAGTTATATTTCCTGTCAATTCATCTGCAACTGAAGAATTGTACGTATTTAATATATCCGGATTCAACTTCAAATCTACTTTCTTTTTGGAATTTTTTCTTAAAAAATCAATTACTATCATCCAACTCTCTTTTGATTTATTGGTAGCACTATCTATGCGATTTTTATAATAATTTTCCTTCGCTAACTCCATAATCTTACGATGTACTGATCTGTACTTATTGTAGTAATTAGGAAAAAATCTGCATTTGTATATTTTCTGATATAATGCAGATATCTCATATCTCTCGCAAAATTTTTCAATTCTTTTGAAAGGAGGATTTGATATTTTCGTTGATTCAATAAACGCAGTTTCAAGCAGAGCGTTTTTGTTACAGTTGGCTCTGATGAAAGATTGAATCAGTAATGATCTATCTTTATTGTGAGTCAGCGGTACAATGAATTTTTCCCCTTGATCCTGATACTGAAGTTACCCCATTTCTAAATTTTTTGTTAAATTTATTAACAACTTTTTTCTTGTCTTTGATGCTTGTGTATCCTTCATCCGTTAATACAAATAACTTCACTTGTGTGCCCTCGTCAATTGTGATCTTCAAGTAGTTTTTCACCGTTTCAGTTCCTCTT